TTTATTCCTTTGGATCTTCTCTGTGTCCTTTGGTTGATTTGGCTAAGGGTTTACAATCTTCTTTGTTTCTCAAAAAAACTAGCGCTTAGTTTCTTTGAGTCTCTGTATTACTTTTGCTGTGTGCTTCCTTCCATTGTGTCCCATGAGTTTGCTGTGTGCTTCCATGTGTCCCATAGGTTTGGGTAGGTTATGTTTTCATTTTCATTCATTCCTAAGAAGCTTTTAACTTCCTTCATTTCTGCATGAACCCATTTTATTCTTATATCTTTTGAGACTCAATTTGTATCCTAGTGTGTGGTCAATTTTGAAGAAAGTTCTGTGAGCTGCTGAGAAAGAAGTGAATCCACTAGTGTCTGTGTGAAGTTTTCTGCAGATGTCTGCTAGGTTCATTTAATAACGCAGTGACATACTTGAAGGCTCTAGAACAACAGGAATAAATAACACCCCAAAAAGCTAGAGAGCAAGAAATAACCAAACCCAAGGCTGAAACAAGCAAACAAAAACAATACAAAGAATCAAAGAAACTAAGAGTTAGTTCTTTGAGAAAACCAAGAAGATTGAGAAACCCTTAGCCAAATCAACCAAAGGACAAGGAGAGAAGATCTAAATGAATAAAAATTAGAGATGAAAGGGACAATCCAACAAACACAGAGGCGGTGGCCTCACACACAGGAGTGGGGCACTGAAGTCACGCACTCTCTCTGTGCCAGGTCAGTGTGAGTTTGGCTGCAACAGTGTTTCTTTATGAACTTCACTACTTAAGCTTTGCTTTCCCTTCTCACAAATTGGAAGCTTATCTGGGAGGGGCCTAGCCCTGAGGTCACCACTCCCTTTATTCCACTTAATATCTAGCCTTTCATCTCCTTGAGCACTGGGCTTAGCTTCATTACACTTCCTGGTGCCCCTTTTTCCCCTCAAACTGTACATTTTGTATTTTTCTTTGTTCAGTTTAATCCTTTTAATTATAGATCTGGATAAGTGTGACCACTAATAACCATATGACATAGTTAATACTGGCTGTTTTGAAATCTCCTCTGCAAACACCATTAATCCAAAACTCTTCAATTTAGCCTCAGGCAAATTTTTTGGACAAGAGCAGAAAACAGCCACATTCTTATTCAAAATATCATAAGAATAGTCTATTACCATTCTTCCCTTCTGAAACCTCTTTAGCCAGGCCTCCTCCATGCAAGTCACCCTCAGCCCCACTGTCTTCCACACTCCTACTAGTGTGGCCCAATAAGACCCCACATAAAGCATTCAACTGCTTTCCTAATCCAAAGTCCCTAAATCCATGTTCTGCCAACAAGCAGTACAGTCAGGCCTGCCGCAACAATACCTTGTTCCCTGGTACCTACTTCTTTCTTAGTCAGTGTTCTGTTGCTATGAAGAGACACCATGACCAAAACAACTATGAAAAAGAGAAAACATTTAATTGAGAACTTGTTTACAATTTCAGAGGCTTAGTCCATTATCATGGCAGGGAGCATGGTGGCAAGCAGGCACACATAGTGCTGGAGAAGTAGCTGAGAGTTCTACATCTGAATCCACAAACAACAGAAAGAGAGAGACACTGGGCCTGGCTTGGACTTTTGAAACCTCAAAGCCCACCCCCAGTGACACACTTTCTCCATCAAGGCCCCACCTTCTAGACCTTCTCAGATAGTGCTACTCCCTGGTGACTAAGCATTCAAATATATGAGCCTATGGGGGCCATTCTCATTCAAACCACCACAGCACCCTTCTGTTTGGTACATAAATGTTTAGAATTGCTATATCCCCTTGATTGTTTCTTTAATGCATGTGTGTATCCCTTCCTATCTCTTCTGATTGTTTTTGGTTTGAAATCTATTTTGTCAGATATTACATACTTTCTTCTGCTTGCTTCTTGGGTCCATTTGCTTGGAATGGCTTGTCCCATCATTTTACCCTGAGGTGGTATCTATCCTTGATGATAAACTATATTCTTGGATACAGCAGAAAAGTGAATCCTGTTTTCTAATTCAATTTCTTACTCTTTGTCTTTTTACTAGTATTTCAGGTTATCAATTAACTAATATTGAGGGTTATCAATGAGGTGTGTTTATTGATTTCTATTATTTTGTTATGGTGGTGTGCCTCCTCTCCCAGCTTTTGATGCACTGTTCTGAGAGTATTTAGTCTGTGTATTTTCTTGGATGTAGTAAGCCTCTTCTGACATAATTTTCATTCTAATGCTAATGCCTTCTGTAGAGCTGGACTTACAGTTAGATACTGCTTGAATGAGGTTTCATCATGAAATGTTTTTCTTTCTCTGTTTATTGTAATTGATAGTTTTGCTGGGTACAGTAGTCTAGGCTGTCATCTATGGTCTCTCAGAATCTGTAAAACATCTCTCCAGGCCTTTCTGGCTTTCAGAGTCTCCAGTGAAAAGTCCAGCATTATTCTAATGGGTCTGCCTTTACATGCTATTTGTTTTGTACTGTCTTTTTCACTTGCAGCTTTTAATATTCTGGCTTTGTCCTGTACATTCAGTGTTTTGACTGTTTCATGGGTAATTTCTTTTCTGGTCTTATCATGTGGTATTCTGTGTGATGTGGGAATTATAAAAAAGAACAGCATGATTCCCATGCTATGTCCAGCACCGGTGGGCCACATGGCCCAAGCGGGGTGTTCTCATCTTGGCAGACCCTCTGGCCCAGGGCCCCTGAGACTTTTCCACCCAACTGGCTAATTTCCCTTGGCCAGATCTACCACACCCCGTTGCTTCAAATCCCCCATGGCCTTTGTGGTGCACATCAGGCAAACTCACGCTTTGCTGCTGTACCTTTCTCTCTTGAATCCAGTTGAGTCGCCACAAAAAGAAAAACATCACACAAACTTAGTTTAGAAACAATGGTAACTCAATCTCTGGGCACAACAACTAGAATCCTAATCTTGTAAACCATATAAACCTAATTCCTAAGGTGACGAATCCTGGTGGATCTGCCATGAAACCAGGAGACACGAACAGCTACATCTTGCCCTTATGCTATCCCTGATCCAAAAGGCCTCTCTCTCTTTCCTCTTCCTCTCTTCCCCTCTCCAACCTGGAAGTCTCTCCTACTCACCCAGTGATTGGCTCCTTTATTCATTAGGGGATTGGTTCACAAGTCACTTGAGTACGTGACTCACTCTTTGTCCACAGCCCCTCCCAGGAGAGCAGAATTTACTTCAAAATGCAAATACCACCAGGCCCATCCATGACACTGTGTGCATCTTGGACCTTGATAGGCATCTCTTTCTTTAAATTGGGAAAATGTTCTTTTATAATTTTATTTAAAATATTTTTGTGACTTAATCTGGGCTTCTTCTCCTTCCTCTATTTCTACTGTTCATCAGTTTGGTCTTTTCATTATGTACCAGGTTTCCTGGATGATTTGTGCCTAGACTTTTTTAGATTTAACATTTTCTTTGACTAAGGTGTCCATTCTTTTACCTTGTCTTCACGACCTGCAATTGTCTCTCCCATGTCCTGTAATCTGAGAAGCTCTGTGGCTTTTGTTTGACTTCTTAAGTTTTACATTTTCTTTTCCAGTTTTATTTTAGCTTGGATTTTCTTTGGTGATTCTATTCCTACTTTCATGACTTGAAGTCTTAAAATGTTTTCAATATTTCATTTAACTGTTTGTGTTTTCCCAGTCTTCATTAGGGAATTGGTTCATATCCTCTTGAATATCTTCAAACATAGTCATAATTTCTATTCTGAAGTCCTTGTCTTATGCATCAGCTAAGTTGAATTAATCAGGGTTTATTGAAATAGCTTTACCAGGTTTTAGAGGGGACATATTGTCTTGGCTATTCATGTTTGCTTTTGCACGGGAATCCAGGCATCTGTAGTTATAATGTTTGGGGTACTTCATGGCATAGATATCTGGTCTTTTTTGAGCGAGTAGTTCTGTTCTTTGTTTGTTCTTGCCCACTTTAGATCCTAAAAAAGTATGGTGGCTGAGGGTTCTCAGACAGAGATTGCTTCTGTCAGGTGGCAGGCAACACAAAGAAATGGAGATGAGCTAAGAGAAAGGTGGAAATGGGCAGAAGGAAATAGCTAGGGAGACAGGGTTCCGGGAAGAAATCCTGTTCTTCGGAAGTGGATTTTTGGGGAGAGGTCCTGCAGGCAGGTTAAGAGCAAGTGTAGAGTGGTTGGAATGATGGACAAGAAGGATGGTGAGTCCCTACTGTTGTGATTTCTCTGGAAGAAAGTGTTATGCAGATTAGCAGTTGACACAAAGGGACAGAGATGGCCTAGAAGGGAAGGATGAAAGGGTCAATGGGTAAGAGCTAAGGGGACCCTGGGTTTACACCAAGAGGTAGAGTCCTCAAAGAACAGATGTAGAGTGAAAGGTGGGCTCCTGTAGGCAGCCTGTGGAAGGATGAAGAGTCAGTAAGTGAGATGTACAGCTCTAAGCACATGCTTCATTGCTACGTCATACATCTCCAGCCCACTCATTTAAAATAAGGGGCAGAAGACAGTCACTGAGGACTTACAGGCATAGTAGACCAGCTATGAATTGATAACAAAGTCAGAAAGGCACGCCCAGGAGGAGGTGAAATTCTCCAGAAAGAATCAAGAAAGGAAAACAATAATACAAGAAGGTTGGCGGAGTTGATAAGGGTAAAGCTGAGTTGGACACACAGTTTCCTCATGTGCCATTGGGCAATGTGGAAAGATATTACCATCAGTCTGACTCCAACAGTGGTCTTCTCTGATCTGGAAATAGGGAAGTGAGATGACACTATCAGATGAAAGGGAAGTTTCTTCACCTGTGCCCAGACTCCAATGGGATGAGGTGGCATCACCTCCAATGGGATGGGGTGGCATCACTGAGACTTCTTTCTAAGGTATCTATTTCTAGGAAGAGCTCATGAGGGAGAAAAGCTTGAGAATGCCTTAGATAGTGTATATTATATGGGGCAATTGTGAGGCACTGTGTCAGATACAACAGAGAAATGACTTGCTGTTTCTCCATCTCTGCCCACAGTATTATTAACATCATCATCATCCTGGCTGGGGCCATCGCACTCATCATTGGCTTTGGCATTTCAGGTATGTGCCATCTAACCACAGTCCACACTGCGTCCATCTTCCTTCTCACTCGATGGGACTTGAGAAGGACACTTCTCACTCACTGGGAGTTGATAAAGACAGGATTTCTCTCCAGAATACTTCAAAGCAGACACTTGCTCTCCGTAGTGTTAAGTCCCTTCTAAACAGGAGCCTTAGGTAAAGGGAGAACTGGCTATGACTGCCACACCATCTAGGAAACACTTGCCACAATAGTTGCTCTTCAAAGGCAGTTAGCTCATGTCAGCTGCAGGAAGCCCTCCCGTCCCTCTTCTGATAGGAAGAACATCTCCAGAACATCTATGGATACTGTTAATTACGATGTAGTTAGGCCAGCAGCTGTCTTCTCTAAGGCTGGTTGTTTGCTGTTTCCCATAAACCTCCTGACTAGGGTCAACGTACTTATTTTAACTTGGTCTGTGGCCAAGCTGTCACTTCATGATTTTAGTCTTTATGTTTTCATCTGCCTCTTCCCTACATCACTATCCTCCAATATCTGGTTATTAAACAGTGATGACAAGGCCTGAACTATCTTAGACTTGCTATATGTGTGTTTGTTAATACAAGGCATCAGCATTCCTACCCACTTTGCTTATCATCAAAAATATATTCTGCTTACTTTAAAATTGAGTTTCTCTGGTTTTATTTTTTTAAAAGATTTTATTTTTACTTTTAACTATGTGGCTATATGTCTGAGGATAGGTTTGTGCACATGAGTACAGTGCCCAAGGAGGCCAGAAGAGGGCGCTAGACCCCAGAGAACTGAGTTACAGGAAGTTGTGAGCTGCCCAGTGTAGATGGGAAGCCAAACTCAGGACCTGTGAAAGAGCTCTAGACACTCTTAACCAGGAAGCCATGTCTCTAGCCACTTGTTTTTTCTCTCTGACTTAAAGTTCTGGCTGGAAACTGGCTATGAGTGTTACCAGATCTCTCCTGATCTATGGCTTTCTTGCCTTTTCACTTCCTTAATAGATTTCTAAGAACAAATGGTATTCATTTTAACATAGCCAAAGTCATCAATCTTTTCCTTCATATGCAGAACTTAATCTAATCAATTTTAAACTTTTTTTTTTTTTTTTTACCTTCCTTGAGGTCATGAAAGTCTTCTAAATTTCTAGAAGCTTCATTCTTTTACTTCTGGCCAGTATGCTTACAAACCATCTAGAGTGGATTTTACCGCATATTGGTCAAGATTCAATATTTCCATGTGGCTATCCAGTAGACCCAGCGCCATTAATTGAAAACATATTATTCCCTCTAATACATCCATCATCATAAAACAGTCATCCATGTGCGTGTTGATACATTTCTGAAATTGCTAGTATGTTTTATTCTAATACAGATGGTCCTTGATTTATAATGGTGCTACATTCCAGTGTCCCAATTGTATGTTGGAAACATTGCAAGTCCAGTGCATTTAATATACCCAACCTGTCAAACAGCATACTTAGCATACAGCACACTGCAGAATGTGCTCATTGGCTCTGTGAAAACATGTAGCCCAATGGGAACTACTGGTGACAGCATCACCATGAGTATCCCACCATGCATCACCAGTACTGGAGCACATAAAGAAAGGATCAAAATTTGAAGTATACTTTTTACTAAATGCATATCATTTTTATACCATCATGAATTCTAATAATCACAAACTGAACCATCATAAGTGGGAGACCACCTGTCTTCCCTTTTAATTACCTTCTTTTGATTTGCATTATTTCATCTCTTTTCCTGCCTCTAAATCTTAGGTCCTCTCTTCTTGGTCATTAAGCAAGTTACTAACCTCAGAGCTCCTTTATGCTCATTCATAAAATGGGTCTGATGTGCATTTTTACTTCTGTAGCTTAAAATGAGCCACTAAGAGCAAATCATTCAGTGAGAGATCCCTTTCTTACCTCCCGAGGCCTTGATCTTGATAGTTGGAGTTAATGTTTTTCACATGCATGGTTTAAGGTTTGTCATGACAAGTCAGAGGCATCATTAGGTCCTTATTTGCATTGTATCATTCAGTCCTATTAGAGACCCCATGAGGGTGCACTCTCACCTTACACATAAAAGCAAGAATTAAGGTCTTTCCCAGTGTCACATACCCAGAAAGTGACAGAGGTAGGACCCACAGTGATATAGTCACCATCTTCCCAGATGCCCACACTACCACATCCCTACATCTTCCCTTTCCTTCTCCTGACCTAGTGTCTTTCCTAGTTTCTTCGTATAAGTAACTGCTACACACCCATTTTCCTCTTTGGGTAGCATGGTACCTACCCCTAGGTATCATCCCAGCCTGGAGCAGGCTGTGTGTTTCTATCTCTAAGTCATGAGATATGTTGCATTCTGCACAGCTTCGCTCCAGCCAATGTTATAGGACACTCTGATAAAGGCTTCTAGTATGCTTTACACCGTTGAAATGTATAGAACCTGTACTACAATGTGTCAAAGGACAGTTCATTTCCTAAGTTTTATCCAGTGACCCCCATCACAATTTCTATGAAATGTTTACCTCATGTTTCCTATAACCCCCACCCCCAAATATCCCTGCTCCTACAGGGGAGAAGCAATTGAACATTTCTCACCTGTGTGACTATGTTGAGACTACAGCTTGCTCACCTGTGATGTCTGCTGTCCCTTTCCTCATGTGACCAGAGCTATGGCAGGAATTGCTCCATTGTCATAGTGTTAGCTGTCAACAACTTGACTCAAGCCTAGAGTCACCTACAAAGAGGGAATTTCAACTGAAGAATTGCCCAGGTCAAATCGGCATTAAGCTATGTCTGTGAGGCATTTCCTTAATTGCTATTTGATGTAAGAGGGCTCAGCCCACTGTGACTTGTACCATCCAGGGGAAAGTGAACCTGGGCTATATACGAAAGGGAGCTAAGGGGCTGGGGATACGGCTCCGCAGTTGAGAGCACTGGCTGCTCTTGCAGAGAACACAACTTTGGTTTCTAGAACCCACATAGCACATCGCAACTCTCCATAGCCCCAGTTCTAGGAGATCTGATACCTCCTTCCTGCCTCCTGGAGCATCAGACATGCATATAGCACACGTAGGCAAACACTCAGATACAATAAATATAAATACGTATATGTTTTAGTTAGAAAAGACGTAGCTGAGCAAACAGAACAAGTGAGCCAGGAAACAGTGGTTCTCAGCTTGTGGGTCATAACCCCTAGCGGATCAAATGATCCTTTCATGGGAGTCACCTAAGGTCATAGGAAAATACAGAGAGTCATAGTATGATTCATAACAGTAGCAAAATTACAGTTATAAAATAAGAATGAAAATAGTGTTATGGCTGGGGGTCACCACCACAGGAGGAACTGTATTAAAGCATCATAGCATTAGGAAGGTTGAGAGCCACTGGTCTATGGTCTCTGCTTCAGTGCCTGCCTCCAGGTTCCTGCCTTGAGCTCTTGCTCTGGCTTCCCTCGACAGTGGAATGTGACCTGGAAACAAAGCCCCATAACCCCTCCCTCCTCCAAGTCACTTCTGGACACTGTTTGATTACAGCAATAGAAACCAAGCTAGGGTGCCCTCTTGAGCTAATTATGCATTTTCAGAAAATTGCCCTGTCTTCCAATTTCTGAGAAGTTTGGGGGTAACCTTAGAGGCCAATGAGACTATTTAAATCTGTGTCAGTCACAGAATTCTCTATCAACAGACAGTGGCTTCTACCCCGTCTCTAAGGGACTCTTGTCCATTTCACAGCAGTCACCTAGGAGCCTCTGGTGGTCAGAATGCCTAGAGAATTGCACCACGCCAGGCTACATAATGTTCTTTGAGCCAGGATGTGTTTCCATGTTTGAGTACAGACTCTCCTTTTGCACATTAAGTTCTGTTCAATCACTCACCTCTTTATTTATTCATGTAACAAGCGTTTGTTGACTCTGGCTGGATGCAAAGCAAGCCTACCTCTTCAGGACTGCTGACATTCTCACTGGTTTTATTTCCTGTGGATGAGGATTCGATCGGTGAATTCATACCACATCATGAATGCAACCTCAAATGACCTAGAGCTGCAGCAGGTCCCCAGGCATGCCGAAGCTGCCTATTTTTAATTACCAAGTTCTCTAGGAGATATGCCAGTGGATTCCCTACCTGTGGGCTCAAGGCCGATACATTAAAATGAATTCTGTAACACAATTACCAAATTGAGATATGTCCTTTTCTTTTCATTTCCTCCGTAATTGTGCTAATAATGTGGGTTTTTTTTTTCTGAAAAGTAATTTTCCAGATTAACTTCGATGACACTTTATGAAGTACAGTCACCTTCTCTCTAGCTCTGAGGCCCAGTTGTTCTGTGGTTTCATTGAGAAACCATATGTATTTTTATTGTCTTTTCTAAAGGCTAATATTTCTCCCAAACTTAAATGCATGAATCTTGGCAAATGCTCTTTACTCTGGCAATAGATAGATTATATAAACTGTGCTTTGATTTGTGCTTAATTCCATTTATTCATAAACTCATAAAACATTATTTTTCTGTAGAACAGAGCAATAAACATTATCAGACCCATAGTTACTACTGAAACAGTTTCCCCTTTGGACAAAGCTTGTAGATTAGTGCTAAGTCCAGACATGAGTCAAGGAGGAGGGAGGCAGTTGCCATGGTAAAGGGAAAAGAAGAGTTATGGGGCAGGTGTATCTGCCTATTCTTCCTTGGCAGGCTGGAAAGGGTTTCCCAGAAGGACTGCCATTCCAGCTGGCTCTAGTAAGAGTAGAGCATAGGTAAGCAGGGACAGCGAGCCGGAACTCCTGACAGGAGAAAGATGAGCAGGGTAGTGAAGATGCGGAGTGTGACCACACAGCCCATGAAAGCCTGAGCCTTCCAATAAACAAAGATAACTGAAAGTAAGCCTGAATCTTCAAAGCAGGGTTCAAGAAAAAGCCTGGCAAGAGACGGGAGTTGTGTTCTTCTCCCAGTCTTCTTTTGCCATCTCTCCTAGTTAGCTTTCAAATCTCTCTCACAAAAGGTCTCACATGGCAGCTGCTCCCCAAATCCCTTTTCTTCCACATTGTCAGATCTCCAAAGCGTCTTCCAGCCCAGCCTATGCACACCCGTTTCCTTGTCTCTTTTTTCTAGCTATACTCACTCTTCTATTGCTAGCCCTCTGATCTTTTGTTTTATGCAAATCTGTCTAGCTTGGTGTCTTTGGGTCTATTTCCTATGTACTACACTCATCTCTTTTACAAAGGTCTTGGAGTCAATTAGACAATCCCGAGCCTTAATGAGCTAGAGGGGCCGAGGACACCCTTATGTCTAGAATGCTTGCTTCTGTATTTGAAAAAGAACATGTACTAATTGTTTGTGCATCTTTAAATTGAAGAAAGAAAATCAGCAAACTGTTGGACACACACAATGAAGGAGGACAGTGGGAGAGGAAACTGGCAGGCAGAAACAAGAGGCATTCAGTGCGTGCCAGGCAGTGCCTGGCATTGAAGGCCAGGCAGGGAAATCTGCAACTCATTCCAGAGCCTGTAGTAACCATGGGAAATTAGTGCCTAGGTGACAGATGTATTTGGCTTGCACTTTTAAGAAAGCTGCCCGCAAGAGCAATGCATTTAAAATGTGTTGGATGGAGGACGGTATGCACAGTGGGAACACCAATAAGGAAGCTGACACTGTTGAGAAGTGTCCAAGACTCATGGTGGTGACATCTGTGGGTGTCAGAAAGGCCTGTGTGGACCATCTTAAATGCTTAAATCAGGTGTCTACGTGAAGAATATGCAGAGATTGGGACAGCATCTCCTGCCATTATCCTCAGCAGCCAGCATGACTCTCCATGGTCTCTTCCCCACCTTTCCTTATAACTGTCCCATAATTCTCTTGGGCTCCAGGGCCATTTCCTTAGCTTCACATCTGTGTCATGGGAGTCATTAAAGATATTCAATTAATTACCTTAAGGTGCCATCAGTCAGAACAAGTGGTACAAGGAGCCCTGGGCTAGGTAGGCTGTAGGCTGGACAACCAAAGAAGAGGCAGTAGAATGAAGACACCACCGTAGTCAATGTTCCTTCTGCTGGTAGGATCAAACAGACGAGGTGGGTAGTTTCCATCTCGGACCAAAACATCACTAAGTACCACTCTTCATTATGACGTAGAGAACACTAGAACTTCAGCCATGACACTTCCCTTCTCCATGCCTGAGTTTCTTTATCATTCCAAGAAAGACAAAGTCCCTGCATGTTAGACTTGAACTTTCTTTGGAATTACTAGCTGTATTAGCTAACATGAAGTATCGCTTTGTGTCACTTCTGATTAGCTAAGCATAATACCTTACCTGTGTAACTGCTGTTCAGCAAGTCAAGTTTACACCCACTTGATTTGTTCCTCACAATAACCTCTCAAGGTGGACAAGACAGTAGTGTTCCTTCCATTCCCCTGAGAGCCAGAATAGTCACATGACTTACTTATGGTAAAAAAGGCTGCTAAGGACCAAAGCCAGTATGTGAATATTCACATTCCAGAGTTCCTCAGCTCTGATGTGTTTTCTTCGTGCTACCTCTGAGGGTTTGGCTACATTGTTCTTACAAAAGCTATTGTGCACAGATCTGCTGTAGATACCAACATTTCTTCCTGCTCTTTCTAGTCTTTCTAGCCATGTCTTTTTGTCTCCTTCTCTACTTCTAACTGATCTGGACATCTCTGTCCGACATGTATTAATGAAGAACATGGTTGTCCAAGTACCAGAGCCTCACTGGTATGGGTCCTTCTGAATCGCAGGCAAGCACTTCATCACGGTCACGACCTTCACCTCAGCTGGAAACATTGGAGAGGACGGGACCCTGAGCTGCACTTTTGAACCTGACATCAAACTCAACGGCATCGTCATCCAGTGGCTGAAAGAAGGCATCAAAGGTTTTGTCCATGAGTTCAAAGAAGGCAAAGATGACCTCTCACAGCAGCATGAGATGTTCAGAGGCCGGACAGCGGTGTTTGCGGATCAAGTGGTAGTTGGCAATGCTTCCCTGAGACTGAAAAACGTGCAGCTCACGGATGCTGGCATCTACACGTGTTACATCCGCACCTCGAAAGGCAAGGGAAACGCAAACCTTGAATATAAGACTGGAGGTGAGTTGCTTCCGAAGGAGAGGGGAGGGTCACCCTCAAAGATGTCTGAGAATATCTGAGGGCATGAGTTGTTGATAAAAATATCATGGTGTGCTCATAAATGACCAGTATCAGGCTGAAACGTGCTCAGTTCTGTTAGTGGCCATCTTGTTGTTATACTCAAGACCATTCTCTCTCTCTCTCTCTCTCTCTCTCTCTCTCTCTCTCTCTCTCTCT